TCCTGCTTTTGTACGTGAAGGACGAGGATGTGATGCCAGGAGCTCTGGCAGCCACCTTGCGACCATGAGCAGACTAAGCACTAACCAATATGCGTATAGTGATAAGACAGTCTGGAAACATGGAAGAACTCCTGAGCTAGCCCTAAAACTGCCCAGCTTTAGACTCTCTGGTGTCTGAGACAACCACCATCCTTGTTGAAAGTCACCTGGTTGAACATTCTGCTGTTGGGCATCAGTATCGGGTAGCATTGAGGAGCCCAAAGAAACGGATATGCTAATTGTGAAATGCCAAGACCCATGATAAGTGCAAGTCAAGGAATTTCTGGGATTGGGCGTGGCCTTCCCCAAAGCCCTGCACGTCAAGATGCGGTGTTGTGTATGTGGCTTATATGAAATTAACCAGAGCACATTTGTCCTGCCTCCCGGGGCAACCTCCCAGGGCAACCTCCCAGGGCTGCCCCGGCCTCCGGCTGCACAAGACACTCAGGAAAGTGGACAGTCACCTCTGACGGCTCTATTCACAGTCCAGAGCTCCGTCCTGCACTTACGGAGAGTTTCGAGGAGTCCAGGAATCTGGCTGATTTCCTTCCCCGCCCACGGGATGGAGAGGTGCAGTCGCCCTGTACCCCCATCTGCCAGCAATTCCCAAGGAAAATATCCAGCATCGGTCTGATAAGAGACCCTATAAAAAGTTCCAAGCCCCATTAGTCAACTGTGAATACAAGGAAGGGCTTTTCTCTTCAGCAACTCCGCCCTTTCTCAGGACGGGGCTGACACCTGGCCCAGACACTGTTTGCTGCAGACGCCCCTTCCGCCGCTGGGTCACCCCTGCATCCAGGGGGACTAATGCACCCCTCAGAATACACCCCTCAGAACACCCTCCGACTCGGCTTCTGATGAAAGTGGAGAGTCCGTTAGACACTCCGACCGGGACAGGCGGACGATCCGCAGGGACAGGGCACCCAGACCAGCTTTCCCAGCCCCCCATGTCCGCCCGGAGGAGGAGGGCGCCTGCCCGCCCCGCCCCTCGCAGCTAATCAGCTGACAGCCACCCCGGTGCTCCCGGCGGGCGTCCTCTGGCCCCGGGACCGCGGTGAGCACCCCCGCCCCGCGCTCCCTCCCGCCGCGCCCTCCGCCCGGCTCCGGGCAGCGCACCCGGGAAGCCGCGGCAGGTGCGGGGCTGCTGCGTGACCCGGGACCCGGGACCCCTTCAGAACCGGCTCCCTGGCCTCCGGGCTGCGCCCCCTCCCGAAGGCGGGGGGCCCACGGGACGGCGGGCCACGCCCAGAGGCCAGGACGCCGGGCAGGGGCAGCGGGGTGTCTGGGGCCCCGGGGGACACGGCCAGGCCGAGCCCCGAGGGACAGCCCCCGCCCGCCCGGGCCGCCCCGAGCCCGCAGAGGCTCCGACCCTACGGACGCGGGCGGGCCGCCCTCAAGGGAGGAGGACGCCGGGGCCCACGCAGGGACCCCACACCCCCCGCCGCCCCCCAGCCCCCCTGACGCGCCCCAGAGCGCAGGAAACCGCCCTGCGGCTCCCGCCCCCCGCTGTCCTGCCCCCCGGGGCCCTGCAGGGGGAGCCCCAGGAGGCGGCCCCTTCCCCGGCCCAGCTCAGCTCCCGCTCTGGGCGGCGCAGGGTCTGGGGGACCCCGGGGAGCCCGAGACGAGGTGCGGCGGGAGCCCCCGAGGGGACGCTGCGCCCCACGGCAGGGCGAGGCCCGGCTGCGCGGCCCAGACCCGGGAGGGGCGCCCCTCTCTCTCTCTCTCGCCGGACCCCAGGCCCGCGGCGGGGGCGGGGGGGGGGGGTCCTCGCGGAGCCCTCAGCGGCGCCGCCTTCCCCGCGGGCCTGGGCGGAAACGCGCCGAGGACAGGACAGTCCCCCGGCTTCGCTCCTGCCCCCCACCCCCTCCCCCCACCCCCCTCCCCCATCCCCCAGCCCCTCCTCACCCCTCCCCACCCTCCGGCCACTTTACCCCGATCTGTGACCTGTGACCTGACCGACCAGACGCCGTGGGCGGGCCTGTGCTGTGGGCGGGGCCTGACGTGGGCGGGGCCTGACAAGGGAGGGGCATGCTGTGGGCGGGGCCGGTCGTGGGCGGGGCGTGTTGTGGGCGGGGCCTGAAGTGGGCGGGGCCTGGTGCGGGCAGGGCCTGCCACCACCGCGCCGTCCGAGCAGCTCCGGCCACGCTGCCGCCAGGGCAGGACTGGTCTGTTGTGGGGGGCGAGTGGGAGGAATGGGGGGAACCAAATAAGGGGTCGGGGAAAATAATAAATAAAACCCAAAGCAACAGCAAGGGCGCGGGGGAGCGGGCAGGGCTGCGCCCGGGAGGGAAGCGGCTTCGCGCAGACACGAAGACGCCGCGGGAGGCGCGTGGCCGAGGGGGCCGCGCTGCGGGGGCGCCGGGGCTCTCGGCGCTCGAGGGCGGGACCCCGCGGACCTCGCGGACCCCGCGGACCCCATGGACCCCACGGACCCTGTGGACCTCGTGGACCTCGTGGACCTCGTGGACCTCGTGGACCCCGCGGACCCCGTGGACCCCACGGACCCTGTGGACCTCGTGGACCTCGTGGACCCCGTGGACCCCACGGACCCTGTGGACCTCGTGGACCTCGTGGACCTCGTGGACCCCGTGGACCCCACGGACCCCGTGGACCTCGTGGACCTCGTGGACCTCGTGGACCCCACGGACCCCGTGGACCCCGTGGACCCTGTGGACCTCGTGGACCTCGTGGACCTCGTGGACCCCGCGGACCCCGCGGACCCCGCGGACCCCGCGGACCCCGCGGACCCCGCGGACCCCGTGGACCTCGTGGACCCCGCGGACCCCGCGGACGAACGACGCGACTCCGACGAACGTTTAAATGTTTTATTCTCATGTTAAAAATGACGCGTCACCTGCGGTTAGAATATACTTTATGCTGGAAAATGAAGCCTCTCGTCTCTGCGGTGTTTCCAGAAAAAATGAAAAAGGAAAAATCCCAAAGTCATGACGTGTGAGCTCGCCGCGCCCGGGGCCCCGCGTCCGGGGGGCGCTTCGGGGGCGCCCGTGCTCGCCGCCACCGGGGCTCGCTCTGATTTGGGGGCGCGGCCGCAGCTCCGGGCGTCGGTGTGGCCCCCCGGCCCGCCCCCACCCCGCTCGGGTGCGCAGACGCCGGGGCGGGCCTCCGTGGCCACCGCGGGGCGCGGGGGGCGCGGGGCGCGGGGGGCTGCGGGGCCGGCGCGCGGGGAGGCCAGGGAGGCGCCGCGGCTGCGCCCAGAGCCGGGGCTCGGCTGGGGCTCCGCGGGCTCCGTCCTTCCTTCAGCTTCTTCTCAAACGCAGCGCCCCGGGTTCAAGCCCCGCGGGGCCTCAATCCTGTCACCACCTGGGAGAGGAAACAGGGGCCCGAAACCGGGGTGTCACGTCCCCCCTGCGGGGCCGCCCAGCCTCGGGGGCAGCTGGACCCCGGCGCCCACCCCCGTCGCCCCCCGGGTCAGGCAGGGCCCGCAGGCGCCGCCCGGCCACCCCGGCACGGGCGTCCACCCGGCCCCGGGAAGCCGCGATCCGGCTGCGGCGCGGGCTTGGGGGGAACCGGGCGGGGCGCGGCGGCTGGGTCCGCGGTCTCGTCTGCGGGGCCGCTCAGAGCCGACTCGGGGGCGCTCCGCGGGGCCGGCCCCTCCGGGCCCATCGGGGACCCCAGCGCGGGCCCCGCCCGCCTGGTACCGTGAGCCGAGGGCGGCCCGGGGCGCGGGGTCAGCGCCGGCACCCTCGACGGGCGGGGCGGGCGGAGCCGGGGAGGCGCGGGGCCCCTGGGAGGCGCTGCCCCGGGCCCTGAGCGTCCCGGCCCGCGCCCCCGGAGCCCCCCCCACCCCGAGAGCTCCACAGCCGGGCTTCCCGGCCTCCCTCTAGGCGCCAGAGCAGCCGGCCGGCTCCGGCCCCGGCCGACCCTGGCCCTCCACACACGCGCGTGTTCCTGTGGGTCCCGCTGCAGGAGGCGGCGCCCCGCAGACCCCAGAGAAGCGGCGGGGGGCCCTCGACACAGCGGCGCCCCCGGACTCCGCGGGCCCCGGGCAGCCCGGCAACCGCCGCAGCCCCCCTCTCTAGGGACCGAGGAGGCCCCGCAAGCCCGCTCCTCCGAGCTCCCCCAAGGGCAGCGCCGCCCCGGGGGCGCCGTCACCGCATCCCGGCTCGCTCGGGCCGCTGTGCCCCGCGTGGCTCCCGCAGACCTGGCGGCCCCTTATGCCAAGGGCCTAGGGGCGCGCCCTCCCTCCACGCCCGGCGGCTCGCCTCGGGGCGCCCCTCGCGGGCGGACCCCGCGCCTGGCACGTCCAGACGTTCTTCGGGACAGCGGGACACCCCACAGGACTTCCCGGCGGGGTGACTCCACGCGCAGCTCCGGTGTAGCACGGGGGGGCCACGGGGGAAACCCGGCTCTTCCCCGGCGTTCCGGTCCGAGGGTGCAGGGGGAGCCCCAGGAAGCTTCACACGCAGGAGGGGAGCTCCACGTCTGCGGCTCGGGACTCCTGGGGTTCCGTCCTTCACGTGACCCTGGACAGTCTGCCCCCGGGCTCCCGACGCCCTGCCCTGTGAGCCCCTCGCCCCAAGCTGAAGTAGAGCTTCTCGGACAGACAGAAGGACGGGCAGGGCGAGGGCGCGCGCCGCAGGCCACCAGGCCCCGGCCGACAGGTGGACGCCGGCAGAGCCCCGGGCCCGCGTGGACATCTATGTTTCTGTCCTTCGCGATCCGGAGGTCAGAGGAACCGGGTGCAGGTGCAAAAGCATATAAAAATAACAAGTGAGGGGCCCACGGGCGGCCGCCGTCTGTCCACTCTCAGGCCAAGGGCAGGAAGCGTCCACTGTGCTTTAAGAGGTCTGGGAGTAGAAGCGCCCACGCCGGCCTCTCCAGCCCACGCGGGCGCCGGCTCCCCGGGGCGGACTGTGCCCCGGGCCGACCCACGGCCCCCACGGCCCCCACGGCCCCCAGGCCCACCCGCCCCTCCCGCGGCCCGGCCGCGCCGCCAGACACAGAAGGCATAAAGGTGATGGGAACCGAGGCGGTCACAGCGGGTCGTGCAGCCGGCCCACGTAGTCCCGGAAGTCCCCCGCGCCCAGCGCCAGGTCCGGGCACACCCACTGGACGCTGTCCTCGCCGTCCAGCAGGATGGGGTCGGTGTAGGGGCCGCCGTCCTCGGGCAGGATGGTGGTGTAGGAGGTGAACTTGACGCGCTTCCGCCTGGGCCCCGTGGGGTGCAGGGGCTCGTCGCGCATGTCCTCGTCGTAGGCGCGGTCGGAGGGCCGCAGCAGCGCGCCAGGGAAGGCCTGGGCGCCCCCGTTAAGGAGGAAGTTCCGCTCCTCGAACTGCAGGCCCCGGTCCCCCACGCCGGCGCACTCCTCGGAAGGCAGGGTGAGGTCTGCAGGGCTCTCCAGGAGCTCCACCTCGTTGCCCAGCCACACCCAGTCGTGGGAGTGCGGGATGTTGCCCTGCTCGCTCACCGCCGACCTCTTGTGTCTGTATTTCCAGGCGAACGCCACGCAGTTGACGAGGAAGACCAGGATGGCCAGGCAAAAGACGCACAGCAGCGCGTACATGCCGATCTCCAGGTCGGTCAGGCCCCTGGAGGTCACGGTGAGGTCACTAGGATTGTTGGGCTCCGGGGACTTGCCCTGCGCGGGGAAGCTGGTGAAGGCGTCAGGGCCTCCGCCCTTGAGGGGCCTCCGGCCCTGCCCCTCCCGGGTCGGCTGCCCGGTTGTGCTGTTGGTGCGGTCCTCGTGGCCAGAGGGGGCGCCGGGCTGTGGCCACTGCTGCATGTTCCGCTCCTGGCTCCCCTCGCGCTCGATGGAGTTGCTGAGCTGGTCTTTGTACTCCCGGTGGATGCCCTGGATGTCGTTGGTGCCTCCTGGGTGCTCGCCCACATGTGGCTCAAACTTGACCTTGACGTTGCCTTTGCCCACGGCCAGGACGCTCTTCCTCTTGGTCTTCTGGCAGGACTCACTGATCACCATCTCCAGCTTGATCAGGGGCCCCTGCCCTTCGCCCTCTGCCACCACCACCGGCCACTGGGCCTGGAGGTGTGCCGGGACGGACACCACCATTTCATCCAGCGACGAGACGGTGACCGAAAAGTCCTTGGGGTCGTAGATGTCTAAGGGTGTCGCCGAACCGTCACTGAACAAAATCCAAGCGCTGACGATGGCCTCCTGGGAAAAAGGAAAAGGAAGCGTCGCGTTACCACAGATTGCTTCGACTCTGCCGGCACAAGCAGGGTTTCTTTGGGTCATTTAAATCTACAGGCCGACAAAAATATACTTCCGTGGTTTATGATCCTGAGCAGCTCTGGGCTGCCCTGAGCGAGGGGCCATGCCGGGCCGGGCCTGCTGCAGCGCGGGAAAGATAATGGACTTTAATGGAGCCGTCGGGTCTGTATTAATGCATTGCACGGTATGCAACAGAATTTGACCTTTCTGCAAAACACCCGAAAGACCAGGCCATTCATCTGAAGCAGCGTCGGGTGCCACTCATCAGGCCACTGCTGAGGAGAACATCCTTTATTAAGAAGCCGGCGCTGACAGGGCAGCAGAGCACGCCCGGCTGGGAGGATGGGGACCCTGGCCGGCTCGGGGGCACCACGTCAGGGAGCTCCAGATTTGACTGCCGGCGTCACTGAGATGGAGACGCGCGTCGGAGCTGGTGACATGCGTCAGGAGCGGTTTGGTGCCCACTGGCACTGCGTGTTCCAAGCAACCGAAATGGAAGTTCCGAGCATCCAAACCGCCTGCTCGGGCAGACGTGGAAGCAGGACCTGATGAAAGTATCAGAGTTGGAGCCGCACAGCAAAGGGCACATCGCGATCTGGACATTTAGGGGCGTTTAGAGGAGAATGCATCAGTGCCCGCCAGCTCCCCCTGAGCCGGGCCAGGCCAGAGGAGCGTCCCTTGGCCAGCGCCAGCAACCAGGGCGCCCCTGAGCTCTGCGGGGGGCGGGGGAGAGCTGCCTGGGCAGGGAGGACTAAAGGACTGGGGAGCCCCACCTGCTGTGGGGCTTGGAGGGTGTCCTGGGCGGCCACCGTGGAGACAAGGGCCCTTCTGTCGGCTCGGTGAGGCTGCAGGGAGAGGGACAGGCCGGCCACCAGCTGCACGCCCAGGTCCACGATGGTGACACGGTCGTCCAGCACAGTGACCGTCTTCTCCGCCAGGATGGAGTCAGACAGAGGGGAGAGGACCTTGGAGGAAGCAGAGAGGTGCCAGTCACTTCAGCCCCTGAACCGCGGTCTCCGCCAAAGCCCCCTCCGTCCCCTGCTACGTGAACCAGCTGGTGGACTCTGGGTGCGCGAGCCAGGAGCGAGTGTTCATCACACTTGCCGGGGCAGGGGTGTCACGAGCAGCCCCCCACCCCAGTGTCGTGCGATGATCACAGCCGTGTAGTCTCCAAGAGGAGCCTGATTTGATTTAAAGGCAGACGCTCAAAACTGCGCACCTTGGAAGGGAAGCAGCCAAGAGTGACATTTGCCCAACAACGGACACTTGGGGGGAAAAGAGGCAGGACCGTGGGGAGCCCTAGAAAGGAGCATTGGACCAGCTGAGGGCCGAGGGGGCCCTTGAGGGCCAAGGTGGGGCTCCGGGAGCAGAGTGGTCCCGGGTGGCAGACACAGGGGCAGACGCTGGCCCCCCAGCACGAGCTCACACCCACCTCATCCCTGACCAGAACCCAGTAAGCTCCCCTGGACCCCTGGACTCTGGCCCGCTGTGCTCTGACTTAATATGTTAATGTTTTGAGTGGCTAAGCTTATGGTGATTATAAAAAGTCTGCCCAGCACTAAGAGGAACCCCAAACGACAGCGTGAGGAGTCCGGCACTGAGGGTGAGGTGACACTCTGCAGACACGAGGGAGGCTACTCGGCAAGAAAGAAGGCCGAGTGCCTGCCAGGGGCCCGGAGGGGCGGCCGCCGTGACCTGAGTCAGACAAAGACAAGCACCTGTGGTCTCGCGCACACGTGGAAGGTAAGAAACAAAAACAAGTGACCGAAGTAAAACAGAAATCACCTTTTAGACTGTAAGGCCAAAAAGCGTTATCAGAAGAGGGGAAGAAATGGACAAATCGGGTGACAGGAGTGGGGGGTGCGACGAGCGACGGAATTAGGACCTTCGTGGGGACACAATGTGGCCTGCGCGGGATGGCGTCAGCCAGCGCATCCTCAACAGAGTATTTTTTTTTTTTTTACTCCAGCTCTGTCAAACATTCACTTCAGTAACAATGAAAATATAACCTGATTAACTATGAACTGTAACATTTAAAAAATTTATTGAAAAGATAGGCTGCACGAGTTCTGCATAATTATCCTGTCAAACTGCCTTAAAAAACTGGCTAAAAATACTGCTACTAACAAAAGAGCACTTAACTGCGGGTTTTTTTTAAGTATTCTTAGTAGAAGTTTCGTAAAAATCATATTGCCACGGCTCAAGGTGTGCTAAAACCAGTGGTGAACCCTGGAGGTTAGGAAAACAAAAGGCCAGCATCTCAAGGCCCACCGTGGGAGGGGAGGCGCTGGGGACACGGTCGCCTGCGGGCAGCCCGCCTGGCTGAGGCCGCTCTCCATGCTGGGGCGAGGCTGAGCGCACAGAGCGTGTCGGATGCGCTGTGGCTCCTCGTGGTTCTCTTGCGCGCACACTCACAAGTACACACACTCCCGTACTCACACAAGCACACACTCACATGCACACATGCCCTCAGACACACACTCACACTCAGACATGCTCAACAGACTCACACGCACTCACAGGCACACTCAAGCTCATGCACTCACAGTGCTCAAGACACACATGCAGGTGCACACTCAGACACACACGCACTCACGCACATTCACACACACACTCAGTACACACTTGCACAATCTCACGCACTCACACCCCGACGCCAGTCGGACTTGCAGACACACACACACATGCACTTGCACACTCACGCACGTGCACACATGCATGCACACAGCACCGGCCAGGCTCGCAGCACGCACGCACGCACATGCACTTGCACACGCACGCACTTGGACACACACACGCGCGCACACGGCGCTGGCCGGGCTCGCAGACACACACACAGGCACTTGCACACGCACGCACTTGCACTCGCGCGCGCGCACAGGCGCCGGCCGGCCGCGCGTACCTGCACGGTGGTGATGCCCGGCTCCCGGCCCACCAGCGTCCGGCCCTCCTGCAGCTGCGCGACCCGCGGCTCCTCCACCTTCATGGACGCGGCGACCAGGTGCGTGATGTCGAACTGCCAGTCGGGGCCCAGCAGGAAGCGCGGCGGGCCCGGCCCGGCCTCGGCGGCGAACTGCGCGAGCACGCGCACCTTGGCGCGCTGGAACTGCAGCGCGCACCCGCGGCCGCGCCGCTCCTCGTCGTCCTCGTCCTCGCTGTCCCGCGCCGGCCTGGGGGGCGCAGGCTCAGCCGCCGCGCGCCCGCGCCCCCCGCCCCGCCCCCCGCGCCCCTCACCTCCTGTCGGCCGCCGCCGGCACCGGCACGCGCCAGCCCTTGACCTGGCTCAGCTCCGCGTCCGAGAGCGCGATCTGCAGCGGCAGGCGCGGCGCCCACACGGTCACCAACAGCTGCGCCGTGAAGTGCTGGTGCGTGAAGTTCACGACCGTGTCCACCTTGCTCTTCATCTCCCGCCCGTTCACGAAGATGGCGTCGCAGGTGTTGGAGACCTGGGGGGGCCCGGAGATGCACCGAGATGCTCCCGAGGACCCGCGGGGGAGGCCGACGCGGGGCTGCTGGCGCCCCATGGTCAGACGCGCCCCGACGGTCAGACGCGCCGCCCGCAGCGCCGCAGGGCCCGGGGGTCGGGGGGCAGGGAGCGGGCCTCGCGGGGCGCCCTCGCGCATCACCCGAGACCCGCAGGCGCGCGGGGCACCGTCCTCCGCCGCGACGGGGCCTTCCCAAGCCCGCCCAGGCGGCCGTGGCCTCCCCAGGGGCACCGGCGCGGGGCTGCCCGCGCCCCCTGGGGCTCCCTCCTCGGGACCGGCCCCCGGGGTCCGCGTCGCCCCTGCGGGAGCCCGCGCCCGACCCTCCCCGACCCCCGCGGGCCCGTCCCGAGCCGCCTCTCCGGGGCCCGCGAGGCGGGAAGGGCCACCGAGGGAGGCGTGGACAGAGCCCCGTCCACCGCCCACCCGGAGGCCGCGCCGCAGGGGGCCGAGGGCAGCTGATTCACAAACCTAAGGCGTGAAAATTAAAGCAAATCCCAAGAGAGGTGCCCGGAGAGTTATGCGCTCCCAACCTAAGAGGCATCAAGAGTTGTAAAATCACTCAAACCCTTTCTTTTTCCTATAAAATAGCCTTATAAGTCTGTATCGTTAGAATAAAAGGCAAACATCCCACGATCAGCAGGCACCCCCCAAAAATCTGACAGAACACCCCCTCATGATAAAAGCATTCAACAAACTCGAAACAGAGGGGAAGTTTCCCAGCAGGACAAAGGCCTGTATTAAAAAGCAGCCGCCATCATACTTCATGGAGACGTGAACGTTTTCCCCAAGATGGGGGAGCGGCAGGGCGTCCACTCTCACGGCCACTGCCCAGCATCTCCCGGGGCTCTCGCCAGGGCATCGGGGCAGGACAGAGGAGTCAGAGGCCTCAGCCTGGTAGGAAGGCGTAAGCCCTTTACGGAGGACATGGCCTCGGGAGTGCAAGTCCTAAGGAATCCACCGGAAACACTATGAAAGCCAATAACAAGTTCAGGGCACGAGGCCTGCACACAAGCCCCGCTGTCCGCACGCAAGCAGGCAATAGGCGAAATCACGCAAATGATTCGTGAGAATGGCTTCAAAAAATAAATACTCAGGGACAAACATAGCAGAAGGAGGTGCAGAATGTGTGCTCTGAAAACCAAAAGCATTGCTGGGAGGAGCCTCATCCAGGAGGGGCACCCCAGAAACGGCCAGGAGACCGTGACTATAAAGAGGGCAAAACTCCCCAATTCCCTCTAAAGATTCAACGGAATGTCTATCAAAATTCCCAAGTTCCAGCTGCCTTTCTGGCTGAAATTAACAAGTTCACCCCAAAATTTATCTGGAAATGCAAGAGGCTGAGACTAGTCAAAACAATCGTGAGCCCAGAGTCTCAGGATCCACACCCACCCGTCACAGAGCTCGCCGGAGCTCCTGCAAGGCCGAGGGGCGTCCCAGCAGGAGACACGAAGGTCGCCGACAGCACTGAGCTGCACACACGCCCCCATTCCCGGGCAACGGACTTTCAAAAAGGCTGACGAGACAACAGACTTTAAAACAAATGGTGTTGAGCAACCGGACAGCCACGTGTAAAAGATTCAGTTGACATCACACGTAAAAAATAACTCAAAATGGAATACAGAAGGAAAGGCAAGAGACAAAACTATAAAACTTGTAGACGCATACAAGAAAAGGCTTGTGAACTTGAATTAGGCTCTTATTTCCTTTTCCCTTCGATTTCTCTTGCTGAGGTAACACTGGTTTATAACACTGTGTGGCTCCGGGCCCAGGGTCACCCCACCCCGTGCAGGTCGCCCCCACACCCCCACAGCCCGTGTGCCCTGCCCCCTGCGTGGACAGGCTAGTATTTCTTAACTACCATAAGAATAATATGAACTATAAAAGAAAAACTTGATAGATTGGAACTCGTCAAAATGAAAAGCTTCTGTTCTTTAGAAGAACGTGTAGAACATGAAAAGACAAACCACAGACTGGAAGGAAGTATTTTCAGGCCATATATCTGAGAACGGACCTGTCAGCAGAAAGAGAACCACCAACACTGACACATAAAAAAAAACCCAATTTTAAAAAAAAACAGACAAAAGACCCGAACAGCCACTTGATCGAACACCTGAGGCAGGAAGTAGCTCATGAAAAGATGCTCAGTGTCACTCACCTTTAGGAAAATGCAAAATTAAAACCAAAATGGGACACTTGCATATATCTATGAGAGCGACTAAAATTTTAAAAGCTGACCCTCTCGAGTGTTGACAGGACAGGGTGATACCAGAACACTCAAAACCCAGTGGGAGGAATGCCCAACAGTGCAACCACTTTAGAAAACAGCCCCGCAATTTTTTTGAAAAGCTAAACATACACTCCCCACATGATACAGCTTTTCTGTGCTAGCGAAGTGGAAGTCCAGAGAAAACTTGCATGCACATCTCTAATGACCTTCACTGCGAGAGCCAAAAGTCAAGAACCACACAAACGTTCATCAACGAATGGAGAAGCAGGGGAGCACCGCCGAGGGAGCACTCCCCGGCAGTAAAACAAACCAGCCGCTGGTCTTCGGGGCAATGCAGGCAAATCTCCAATTATTTACACCAAGTAGAAGAAGCTACTTCGTATCGTTTCATTTGTACGAAATTCTAGAAAATGAACATAAATCTTCGGGTACAGAGAAAAGGTAAGTGTTTGCCTGACTGATTTGAGTTTCACGGGGAAACCCATGAATTCGCATATGAAGCGGGGACGTTCTGGCCACAATGAAACTGCGTGGCAGGAGTTTAAAGCATGGACCAAGCAACAAACATCCACAATGCAACACACGACACAGCACAGGGGCCGCGGTCGACCCGGCCGACACCCAAAACCCAGTCACGGGACTCCATCGACCCCAACCTTGGCCCAGAGGGGGTCTGGGCGGAGAGGAGGCAATGAGAGCGGGCAGGGAGGAGGGGCAGCTCTGGCGATGTCTGCCCAGCGCAGGGTGCGGGGGACGTACGGGTCTCCCTGGCTCACCCCAAGATCTCTCTGCGTCACACAGAAACAATTCCAGGATGTTGGTTCTTACTCTGAGATGCCAAAGACAGAAGTGAACACAGGAGCTAATTAGTGTTGGCCGAGAGCGAGCTGGCAGGAATGGGGCGCTGAGAAAGCAGCGACTCTCCTCGGCCCACAGGAAATGCGTCTGCGGGGAGGGCGGACTCGGAACATCCCGTCACCGCGCGGGGCCGAGTCAGGCTTGTCTTGGCTGCCAGGCCCCGGATGGTGGGCGAAGGGAGGGGGATTCGTGCCAGGACAGAACAGTGGTGTCCTGGGGGGCTCTTCCCAGCGGTACAAAAGCAGAAAGGAAGAGACTCAAGCGCTGTGGGTTGAGCCTCGTCTCCTTCTCACGCCGGGCCAGCCTGGAAGCTGCTCCGGGAGCCCCCAGGCCCCGGATTGCAGGGGCCCTTCCAGGCACGCGAGCGCACAGACGCTCCAGCCCGCGCCCTCCACTCCATCAGCACCCTCAGGTCCTGCAACATCCTCAGTCCTCCAGGGGGCCGGGGCTGCACCCCACGAAGCAGTTCCACCGAGGCCTGGGCCAAGCTCTCCTGCTGGGGATTCTCCACATCTGACAGCCCCAGATCTTAGATAAAAATCTAAATTCCAGACACACCCGTCTTAAATGAGAGCGCTTTCGCTTTCGTAGCTTGTACAGAGGCGTCGCTGATCTACTTTTCAAGGTGATGAACGTGGATGTGCAGTGGACGAAGCTTACTCCAGCCCCCTGTGGCCGCCATACCCCTGGGCCGCCGTCCTGCACGGTAGGGCTGTTCCGTGCTCCCGCCAGAGACCCAGAGGGGTGCCGGCGCTGGGCTGAGCAGGGGTGTGACGTGGACAGTGGTACCAACTCCCCATCACAGGGCACAGCCCTGGGCATGGCCCGCAGCCGCAGCTGGACACCCCCCTGGACTCCAGAGCTGTCCCAGGAGATGCGGGAAGTTCTTGCTGCAGGACAGCGGCGTCAGTGCCTGCGTGGGGCGTGGGGGCTTCTCTTCCCAGCACTCACAAGGGCGCCGTCCACGGGGACGTCTGAGTAAGGGACCAGAGAACGGGAGGGGCGTGGGCCTCCTGCTGGGGGAAAGGACGTCCAGTCCTGAACACACACCACAAGCAGGTTTTATGGGCCCCCCACCCCAGACCATAGAGATCCCAGACACAAGGACACGTCCACCCCAGCTCGCCCTCCCACAAACCCCCCACGCAGGAGAACAACCCAGCCAGACGCGGCGCCGTAAGCTAGGGGCACGCCACACCAGGCCCCCCGCGCGGCGACAGCGGCCCTGCTCCTGCCCACGCCCGCCTGTGAGCCCCCAGCGATAGAGCAGCTGCCCGCACTGCACCCCGCCCCTGCGGCCAAGCCGGAGCCTCGTGGGCAGCAGCCGAAGGAGACGCCCTGCCGGGGCCTCCGGGGCTCTGCCGGCTGGTCCGGGACGCCGGAAGCCTGGGGACAGCTGCACCCGCTGCTCCCCTTGTGAGCGGCCTTCCCAGGGCCAGGGAGCGGGTCAGCCCGGGTCCTCCCGCGGCCACGCCCTGGAGTCGCCCTTGCCCCGCGCAGAGGCCAAGCTGAGCTGGGTCCCGTCCATGACTGCGAACCTGCCAGCTTTCACCTGCTGGTAGTAACACGTTCATTAAAGCCCACGCGCCCCACACACACTACGAGGAGGCAGCCTCCGCTGAGTTGCTGCTTTTAACGTAGAAGGGTTGTCAACTTAAAGCTTGGCGTCTGGCCTCCCCGTCTATTCGGCCTCTCTGACTTTTGTCCTCAGGTCCCCAAACGCCACATGACCCCACATCAGCAAAGCCGTCTGTGTGTCTGTCCCCACAATCGCGCCTCTCTGAACACCCCGTTACCTAAACCATGCCCTGTGAACGGGGCTTCCACGCGTGAAGACCTTGATGGCCCTGCAAGACCCTCCCAGGGCGCCCCAAACTCTGCAGGGGTATGAACATCGGCGCCCCGGGTGACCCCGAGCGCTGGCAGGCCCGGGCGGCCCCGCTCAGCTCAGTCGCAGCAAGAGTTACAAACACTCACACGAGCGGTGACAAGTGCCCGCAGTGTTCAGCTCACCCTCCCAACACCCCAACACCCGCAGCTCAGCCACAAAGCGCCTGAGCTGGAGACCCCCACATGCTGGTCCCTCTGAGCACAGGGCCACACTCACTGGACGGACACCCCATATCACAAGGCGACATGAGGGGTAGCTGAGCAAGAAATGATTGTCCCCCAGACGCGCGGGTGGGGCAGGGCAGAGGGCATCTTGGTGCGTTTCTGTGGGGGGGAGGTGGGGGCGGGGGCAGCCTAGCACCCAGGGATAAGGGAGGCCAGAACTCGCACTTGCCCCAGAGGGCAGAGCCCAGGACAGGAGGGGCCCAGCCGGGGGCTGGGGGCAGGCTCTGGGGTCATGACAGGCGCCCATATCGGCAACCTCACACCCGCCCGCCTCCACGGGGCCCCCAGATCTCCTGAGTGGCTGGAGCAGGAGGCGGGGGTGGACGCCGAGTGGGTTGTCAGAGGCTCCTGGGTGGCAGCGGCCAGTCCTGCTGCTGTGCAGATGCCCGCGGCCCGGTTCAGGCCCGCCCAAGCCCGGATCACAAGGCTTCAGATCTTTTTAATCCGGCCGCCCCAAGGGTGTCTGCCGAGCCCGGGGCAGGCTGGAGTCTGAAGTGAGTCCACCTTCTGTGCGGAGGGAGAATTAGCATTCCAAGCCCGGGCAACAGACGGTGCCAAGTCTGGGTTTCCTGAGGATTAATTCTGGCTTAATTAGGCCGCACAGACACAGCACTTCTTGAGCCAAAGCGTCTTCGGCTCACGACACAGCTGCCGGGGTCACGGTCAGCGGACGGGGTCTCGGCCACTGCAGCATGACCCTGCCGGCTCCTCAGCCCACCGCGAAGGCCTGTGGGGTCCCCTCTACCCCGCAACTGCAGCCTCACGCATGGCGTGAGGAAGGACAGGACCAGCAGTGCCGTTCCTGGGTGAGGGCTCTCATGGCGACTTCAGGAGGGAGGAGAGGCCTGAAGATTTCAGCCCTGTCAGGCCTGTCTCCCCGAGGTCGCCGTTGCAAAAGGAACAGCCAAACAATATGCAGAGAAAAACAGGCAGAAACGCCAAACTTGGTGGTTCAAACAGATCCCTGCAAAGGACCGAGAAAGCCAGGAGCCGGCAAGGCTGAATGGGGGGTGGTAGATACGCTAATTAGAAAGGAGAACCTGGTTCCCCAACTTCGGGCTGAGGCCCCTGGTGAGACTCAGTCCAGGTGGCGCAGGGATTCTTCTCATTCAGTCATCTTTTAACTTAATAGTCATTCATTTTAATGTATATTAACAAAAAGTTAGTGAAACCAGCCCCCCAAAGCTGAAACCAACCCCCAAACTAGCCCCGTATTGTTTCTGCCCACAGGGTGGCCGGAGCCCATTCTAATTCTGTTTGCTGTTTCAGCCTGGCCACTTTAGCAGCCAACTTACGGCTCCTTCTTCCCCACAGCAGGACCGACTGTTCCTCCCAAGCAGTTCTGCTTCTCTCGTCAAAGAACCCCAACAACCTGGACCCGGCCTGCGTCAGGCTCCCCAGTGCTGGAGGGTCCCACCCCCACACGTGGACAAGGGCCCGCACCGCAGGCGGCCCTCTGCCAACTCTGTCCCCTGCCTGCCCCGCCTCCTCCCGCCAAACTCACATCCCTGTGCCCCCAGCCCTCTCCCCGCCAAAGGAATTCAGCTCCCAAGTTCCCTGGAACCCCACCTCCCCAGATGTGATACAGCCCCTTCTCCACACCGGGGGAGGGGGAGGCAGCACTGACTCTGGGCTCCAGGCTCCAGGCTCCAGGCTCCTGCCTCCTGTTGGCACCGCTGCGGCATTATGCGCACCAGCCAGCCAGGCCCTGGAGGCGTGCACGGGTTCTAGTGATGAGGCTAAGTTAGCATTTAAGTTGGCAAAAGTGAGGGATTTGAGGAAAATATACTGAAGAGATGACATTATTGGGCGTGGCGAGCTGACGGAGTGGACGAGGCAGCAAGTGAACTGCTCACACGGGGGAAGCTCGTCCTCGGAGCACAGGAAGGAAATAATCTCTGCTCAGGGCTCTGATGAGGCCCCATAGCCAGGAGGGAGCAGCTCCTGATCCCGGGGGGCCCTGCCATCAGTCCCTCTCCCCTGAGCGGGTCGTCCCGCCCCCGCCCTGAGCAGCGATGCCGGGTCAGGACACAGGTCTGGGACAGGAGCCGGGGCGGGGACGCGGCGGGTACCTTGATGACGTCCTCGTCCGCAGACCTGCACTCCACGGCCGGGGACACGTCCACCACGGACCCATCCTCCTCCACGGCCACGACCTTGACCGGCACCGAGACCACCTTCCCCGTGAGGACGGCCGTGTTCAGCACCTCCGTGTCCTGCGGGGAGAGAGGGCGCTGGTGGAAGGGCGCGGGGGAGCAGGGGAGGGCCCCCCAAGGGTCCCCCACCTCCCACCTTCGGCCCAGCCCCGCCATCTGAGACAGCCCAGAGGGGCGAGCGCACGGAGGCCGCAGCTGGACACCCCCGACCGCTGGGTCCATCCCGGACGAGAGACGCAGCCGAGGCTTCCCAGGCCCCAGGGGCCACGGGTCAGGGTCCCAGCGCCCGAGGTCCCCACCTCCCCCACGCCCCCCATCCAGGCCTGCAGGCACCACTTCTGCACTGCCAAGAGGTCTTTTTGATTTTTTCCAGAGCCCAGCTCACTGGCGAGCGGCGACCTGCTTCCACAGCACGCAAACATGGAGAACAGAGCCTTGGCGTGGAACCGCAATTAGGATGTTTGAGAAGGACGGATGGGAGGACAAGAGCACAGGGAACGAAGAACTGGGTGGCCCGGCGCCACCCGCAGGCCTCCGAGCACCCAGGCTTCCCCCACACCCGGGTCGTTCTCGACGCCCACACCGGGCTCGTTTCTCTCGTCCTCTGAGGACCCCGTGGCTTTCTGGCCCCGTCTGTCAAGCTCCTACCCTCCCCGCCGCCCGCCTTCCTGCGGCCCCTGAGCCAGCGGCCCAAGTGAGCGTCTATTTCAACTCAGATCGTTCCTCTCCTGGATGAATCCCCTGGAAAGCTCCAGCATTCTCAAGCTGAAGTCCAGCAGGGTTGACCCTTGCCCTCCCCGCTCTGCCCCCCCAGGTGAGCCCCACAGTGAGGGCCCCAAGTTCTTCTCCCAGCGCCGGCTCATCTGCGCCTTCTGCTCTTACAGACCCAGCGCCCCGCCCCCTCCCCGGCCCGGCCCAGCCGCACGTCTTCCTCAGGGACTCAGGGCTGTGGGTCGGCGCGGGGGGGCAGATGGCCAGCCCGGCCCCAGGCTGCCCGGCGTGGAAATCCCCGCCAGTGCTCACTCCGGATCTCCTCGGAGACGCTGAACCTGTCTTCTCATCACACCGGACACCGCAGGGCCCGGGCCGCCTGAGCTCGCGACTCCACGGCCACCGCAGCTCTGGGCTGGCACCTGGGGTGCGGGGAGCAGAGGCCAGGTCAGCTCCCGGGCCTGGGGCGGGGCCGCGCACGTGGCTCCACGCCGGTTAGTGGATCTGAGTTTCAGAAAACCTGACTCAAGCGGAATGACCCGCCATGGGTGTTCTACGCGTCCAGTGTCGCCAGAAGTCTGGAGGAGAGTGGCTGCGGCCTCCGGTCCTGACTCGGCGAGGTCAGGGCTGCTTCTTGCAGCTCTACCGGCCCCTTCCTGAAGCAGCGAGGGGTGCCCACCACTCCGGCCATCTTTCCACCACCTAGCAGGGAGAAGCACACCTGCCGCACCTGCTTCTTGTCTCAGGACATCGGGCCTTGCACACGGTGGCCCGCCTGCAGAGGAGGCTGGCAGGGCGGGCGTCCACCGGGAAGCTGGCAGTGGACAGCTGGGCTTACGAGCTACTGCTTCAAGTTCATTGTCAGCACCTGCCACAAGGTGCTTCCCCAGAGCCTAAGCTCCCTGATCTGAAATATGAGGTCAGTAAAAGCACCTGTTGTGGAGTGAACTTACGGAAATGAAATGGGCAATCTAGGTACAAAGCTTCGAATAGCACCGGCATGTGATGAGCAAATGAGAATTGAATAAACGCGGCGATTACAGTGGGTGTTTTAAAAATTTCCTTCAGGAAAGGATCAAGGAGCCACCGCGCAGGCTCATAAAGGGACTCGGAGGGAAATCCCACTGCCAGCCTTTGCGAGGGTCGCGGAGAGGAGCTGGGCCACAGCGGGCAGCACGACCACAGGTGAGCTTCACCCCACACTCAAAAATGGCTCCACCCAACATATGTCAAGGGATCCTGTCACACTCAGAACCCCGAGTGTCAGCTCAAGCACCCGTGGGTTCCTTGTTCGATTTTCTAAATCAGCCCCTCACACTGCACCCCAAACCTAAGAAAGGGGAACAGATGGAATCAGAGGATGATAGTGATGCTGCTGCTGCTGCTGCTCATGGAGGAAGAGGAGCAAGAGGGTGAAGGGGTGGCGGGGCAAGGGGAGCTGGGGGAGAGACGTGTTTCAGTCCTTTACACATAATTGCTCCTTCCGTTTTCTCAACAAGCTTCCTGAGACAGTCACTGGGTTGCTCCCAAGTTGTAGACTGTGTTTTTCATGGACATTAAAGCAGGCGTCCTTGGCTTGTGGCCACATCCCTCCCATCTCTGCCTGTGCTTCCTCACATCCCACTGCCCTGCTTCTCCCTGTGCCTGTGTGTCTTAAACCCCACTCCTTTTTCTCCTAAGAGCACCCCTCGTTGGATCAGGGGTCTGCCATCAACTCTGGAGGATCCTTAATTAAGGATCCCTTGGCTTATCCTTAATTAAGGATCCTCCAGGGGCAAAAGCCAGCTTCCGGAACTGGGTAAAGCAAGGCGCCATCGAGCAGCCCCAGCCTCCCGTGACCAGGAAAACAGCAGAAGTGCACCTGCGCGGAGGGCAAAGCTCCCCCTCCTGCTGCTCTCACGCTCTGGGAACGCGATGGGTGTTCTGTTTGCCGTTTCCATAAAAAACTCAACAGCAGGTGCCGCTTGCCTGTAAGCAGATGTCGTCGTGCTCAGCGATCTACACGCCCTGGTCTTCCACAGTTTATATTTGCTTATGTTTCAAGGAAGTGGCCAGGAAATGGCCTTGCCTATTTCCAAGAGAGAAGAGGCGCCGGCCGTGCGCAGGAAGCCATCCCCTCCGCTCCGGTGACGTGCTGGCACTGGCGGGACGCAAGGTCTAAACAAGTGAAGGCCTGAGACAGCTGTTGTCTGACGCCCCGTTCAGGCCAGCGGGGTGGGGGCTGCCAGTGGAGATGGGGTGCACAGGCATCCGCCAGCCTCCCCAGGAGAAGGAAACGAGAGTGGTTATGGACTGAAGGAGCCACGCCTTTGGGTGTGCCACGGCCACACATAAACTCCCGCAAACTCCCTGGGGGCGGGGGAGAAGCTGTTCTAGAATATTTGGCCTGAGCTAATCCTATTGCTAGACAGAGAAAAACATCCACATCTTCACTCGATGCTTCAGGTAGGCGTCGCGCCGCCCCGAGCGGGCAGGTGAGGCGTGACGACAGCAGGGAAGCCCCTCGGCCGGCGGCTCAGACAGCGTGGCGCTCGCGGGCCCGAGTGGCTCTCACGTCCACATTTCTGTGTGGCGGAGGCATCTGTGGAGTGTCGTCGAGGCGCGGAGGGACTCGGGAAGGGACACGGGCAGTGGGAGAAGCCGCAGCCAGATGCGCACTGACTGAGCTCATCCTCGCTGGGAACTTGGCCCCTGACCCGCACCTGTCCTCGCCGCAGGGCCGAGCCACCTGCCCATCAGCGGGCTGCTCTGGGCCGTGATGGGCTCCAGGCCTGCCCTGTGACCCCGGGGCCCATCAGAGGGCCCCTCTGCCCACGGCCCCAAGCTCGCTGGTGCGGGAACCAGGCCCACCGGTGCCGCCCCTCCCGGGACCAGGCCGGGCTCGGCCCACCTGGTGACCGAGGGCGCTTGGGGCGAGGGCACAGGGCCAGGGCATGGGGCTAGGGCGTGGGGCCAGGGCGCAGGGCAGGCACTTGGCTGGGGCCAGGGCCACCCAACGGGGCCCCGGGCAGCCTCAGGACAGCGGGAGGGCCCAGCCCCGGCTCCCCGTGCCCACGGCCCCGCACGAGGAGACGGCGCAGGGTGCATGCGGTGGGCAGCGGTGGGCGGGCCCTCGGCTGCTTCTGGGAGCCCTTCTGGAGTGGTTTGGGGGTCACAGTGCCGCTGAGAAGCGTGGAGATTCCCCGCCCGCCCTCGGGGCGACCGCGAGCCCCCTCTGTGCTCGCGCCCCATGGAGAGCAAAGCCCCCCTACACGACAGCCCCACTGGGCGGGGGGCCCACACCCGCAGTTTGTGGCCGTGGAGCATCTGTGCAAGTGAAGAGCTGGAGAGGAGGTGGGCCTTGCCACCGGCGAGGGTCCCACGTGTCGCAGACCTCTCCTGCCGCCCGCTGCTCCCCTCAGCAGTGTACTTCGGTCCTTCTGCCTGCTCTGCTCCCCGCTCTGGCTCTGGTGAATTCTCTCACCCTCCCGCGCTTCTGACTGTGCCCAGTGCTTGTATAAATAAATAAATCTTCAAAAAAAATAGAATGATTATAATGAATGCATCTTTCTAAATAAAAAGCAACAAAGTCTTTTGAGGAAAATCCCGTGTTGAAGTCTACCAGCCCCAGGTGGACAGCGGAGGAGGCCAGGCCCCTGGAAGCCAGCAGGTGCGGTCACATGGGTGCTGAGGGCTGGGAGGGGCTCAGGAAGGAGACTGCAGGTCTCACAATTTGGAGAAATCGGGGGTCCGGGTGGGCAAGGAGCGTGAGGAGCAGTCAGGTAATCAGGGAAAAGAGTGGACCAGAGACAGGTGTGCAGGGACCTTCAGGACAGGTGTGCTGGGAACCTGGAGACAGGTGTGCAGGGAGACTTCAGGTGACAGGTGTGCAAGGGGACTTGGGGACAGGAATGCAGCGAGACTTCAGGGGACAGGTGTATGCAGGGAGAATTCAGGGGACAGGTGTGCAAAGGGCTTTGGGGACAGGTGTGCAGGGAGGCTTCAAGAGACAGGTGTGCAAGTAGCCTCGAGAACAGGTGTACAGGGAGCCTGGGGACAGGTGTACAGAGAGCCTTGGAGACAGGTGTGCAGCAGGGCTTCTAGGGACAGGTGTGCAGGATAAGTGTGTCCACAGCTGGTCTGTTAGCGCCATCTAGCGGGCGCCCGGAGACTGTTGCCCGAGTTCAAACCCATCAAAAAACACCTTCTTGGCAATTCGTAAAATTGAAGCAATTTAGAGAGAAAGTGCTGGACTCTGCAATAAGCAAAGCAAAAGAGAGAAAGAGTCCAGGTACGTTCCTGCTGCTCTGTCAGGTGGGGCTGACGCCCAGCTGGTGCGGAGGGCGGGGGGTACACTGAGCAAGAGGCCCGAACATTCCCAGCACATGTATGACAGACAAACACTGTGCACGCCTGTCCCTTGCACCCTCGGGGAGGACCGGCACCTCCCTGTGCAGACTACATGGCGGGGCCCCAGGCAGACGCGCCCGCGGCCAGAGAGGCGAGGGAATGGTGGGGGCTGCGCGGAGGCCGCTTGCCTGTCCCTAAGCGCCCCTCCGTGGGGAGAAGGGCGCCCCCCCACTGGGGCCGAAGCTATTTGCCAGCAAGGGCTCTGGCTTGTCATTTCCATGACCTTCCCCTCTAAGGCTGAAGCAGCAGCGTGAAGCCGCCACGCCGCCACCCTCAGTGCTGGCATGCGGGCGCGTCCCCCAGCAGGCCAGCCCTCCAGACACAAGTCTTTGATGGCATGTCCGCTGCCGGCAGCAGCCGAGAGCGCACAGTGAGGACGGGAGCAAGAGGTGAAGGCCTTTCAGCAGGGCCGTCCCCCCGCCTCCCCCACCTGTCTCGTCCAACCCCAGGCCCGTTCCTGCTGAGCACGCGGCCCGGAGCCAGCACCTTCGCGCCCACTCCCAGAGGCAGCTCAAAGCCAGGCTGGCCCAGGCGTGCCCTAGATGGAAGGTACCTTCCTGGGGGCCTGTGGAGGGGCCCCTCTGGGCTCCAGCCCCTCACTTGCTGTAAACATCCAGCTGCCGGGCCATGCCAAGTCTCAAGCCAATGCAGCTAAGAAGAAATCTGCTTCTCTCTTCTTTCTCCTGTGCTGAGCCCGCGTGCCCAGTTGCCTAGAAACTCGCCAAGTGTGTTCTGTTCGTTATTTGAGTCCAGCCTTTCTGGAAGCTGATGTGTTTTTTATCTGTATGTGCAGAGCTGAGCCTTTCAATTGTGAGCATTGCTGGGGAGCAGTGGGCTGCAGCCCTAAACTCCAAGCTACCCGTGGAAATAAACCTGAAAGCTCAAAGCCCCATAATTGGCCAGAAAACCAGAGAAGTGAACAGGAGAGGGGGAGGGGAGAAAGATGAGCCGCGACGGGGCTCAGGGAGAGCTCTCAGCCAAGGAGGGACAGCGCAGAGCCGCCTTTTACATTTTAGAATTTAAAGATGAAACAGAAAACATCAGCTGGCCCTGGGTTGCGACACTCCTGTTTTTAGACTGCCCTTTGTAAGGCGGGATTTGTGAAGGCTTTGACCATCTGTGCCGCTGTGCAGAAATGGAAATATTAGACACAAATCGTTTCCAAGGCCTGGTGATCGCAACTCCAAATCCCCATCAGCTCTATTTTCTCCCCTTCCATTTACCAAACAGTAGTGGAGCTGGCGCTTAGCTGGCGCTTAGTGGGCTAAACACATGCTTGTCGTGTCGCAATTGACTAGATGGGCGGGGGGGGGGGGAGGAAGGCAGGCAGGCAGGTAGGCAGGCTAGGTGGGTGGATGGATTGGTCAATGAATGGATGGGTGGGTGGGTGGGTGAATGGACAGGTGGGTGGATAGGTGGACAGATGGACAGACGGGTGGGTGGATGGATGGACAGATGGGCGGGAGCATCACCATGGCTTCTGTCCTTTTGCAAGCCCTCCTGCCTGCACTAGTGCATCAGCCTCCACCCTGACTTCCTTCCCTGCAGCCTCTCCCCAGCCCTCAGGCCTGCCGCACACTCACCTTCTGGAAGGAGAGGCCGGTGAACGATCCAAAAGTCTGGACCACGGCTGACACTACGGGGGCACACCACTAGACAGCGAAGTTCTGAATGGGTCTGGAGTGGAAACCCAGGGCGGGCGGCCCCTTCTCGGAGGGCGCTATGAGACTCGCCAGGGCGCAGACTGCTGACAGGCCGCCCAGCCGTGGCTTTCCCCGCCTGCCCGTCACAGGTGAGGCCCAAACCACCAGGTCCTGTCTCCCAGCCGCACCTGACTCACCGCATGAGCCCATCCCTCCGGGAGGAGCCCAATGAGACAGCCACCCCGAGACTGACCTGCTCGGCCGCCGCCCAGAGCCAACAGACACACCCTCCCGCACCTGAGCCGACTGGGACGGCGACGGAGGCACCTAGGTGCAGGCGCAGGGGCTGACCCCATCTGTGACAGCTGGTAGCTCCGACGCAGCAGGAGGCGGGCAGCCTGGTTCTAACAGATAAGGAAACTGGGTCTCGACGAGTGTCAGTGACTTGCCGAGGCCACAGGCTAGTAGGCAGCTGCGGTCTGGGCGGGCAGACCTCCCTGGGGCACGCGGCGCCCCTGCACAGTGGACAAGAGGGTTCCTGCTTGGGATTCCGCGCAAGCAGCCAAGGCAAAGGGGAGCCTGGGACTCCTGAGGGGCGCCTGGCTCTGCCCTCGCCTGCTCTCTGAGCCCCGGGGGCAGAGTAGGGTGGGGTTTGATCACGGAGCCAACCAGCTGGGCATGGCAGCCCACATCCCCCCAGGGAAAGCTGTGAATACAAGCTAAAAGGCACTTCTACTGTGGGCCCCACTGGGAAATCAGGGTGCACAGTGCGTCCACGACAGCGGGTGGGGTCCCCGCTGAGCTGAGATGTGGTGGGGGGAGTGGCAGGGTTGACAGTAATGTCCAGAGAGACCCTAGGGCAGCAGCCGGGGTGGGGGTGAAGGAACAGGCCATGGAAGAGGGGCAGGTCTGAAGAACCCCGAAATGGGGCCATGCACAAAGCAAGCCGGGAGGGAAACAAGGCCCCCCACAGACGTCCTGATCCCCAGCCCTGGGAACGTGTCGCTTTACACAACAAAAGGGAAAGTTAAGGATCTTGAGGTGGGGATGGGATCCTGGGCCTCAGGTGGACCCCGTGTCGTCATAAGCGTCCTTGGTGGGAAGGGGGCAGGAGGCTGTGGGGCAGCCGAGGTCTGAGGGGCGTGGAGCCGTGAATACCGAGGCCTGCAGGAGCTGGACAAGACCATGCGGGGCCACCCTGGGCCCCCGGAAGGAAGGCTACCTGCTCGCCCCGGGATGTTAGCCCCAGGAAACCATTCCAGACGCTGGCCACCAGGCTGTCAGCTGCTGTTTTAAGCCATCAAGCTTGTGGCGATTTGTTGCAGCAAAAAGAGAAAAAAGTGCAAAAGTGAGAGCTGGGCAGCCAGCGACAGGTTCTGCTGGCAGATACACTCGTCATGCCTTGGCTGAGCAAGTCCTGTGCCCTGGGCACAATGCCAGGGCCTGAGAAGACGCCTGGGGAGCAGAAGCATCTGCTGGACCTTCCCTCCAAGGAGCTGCAGTGCCCTGGGGTGGAGGGAGACGGGGTGATCCTGGCTCCCGACTGATGGCTGCCCAGCTCCCAATTCACCCATCATCACCTGCTCTGTGAAAACAGAGATGGGCCCTTAATATGTTTCCTCTGTCGTAGGGGGCGCTGGAGACACACTTTGGAAGGACGGGCTTTGCCGTCTGATCCCAGCGCCCTGTCTGCAGGCTCCCGGGCAGGGTGGCTGCCCCAGGTGGGGCTCCTGCTGCTTTCCTCAGCATCCATGCTGAGTGCTGGGGAGCAAGGCCCCTGGCGTGCTGCCTCCCAGGGAACAGCTGTCCCCAGCCCTGCACAAGCTCGGCTTCCCACCAGCAGCACTGCCCCTGCCGCTCCAGAGACCCGTCTGAGGGGTCTGTCTCCGCTGCCCCTGCGTCAGCCCGGGCAGCGAGCTCGTTAGGGGCGCCAGCTGGCCATTTACAGCACATAGAAGCACCAGGTGTGACGTGCTAGACGCTCCGTGTCGACCTTTTTTTTAAAGACAGAAGAAACGGGCAGAGCCCTGCCCGCAGGCTGCCCTCTGGAAAGGGCTTGGAAGCAGCCAAGGCAGCTGTGGGGAGTGCAGCCCCGCCAGCCTCGGCCCAGGCCACCCTGCTCGACTCCCGCCAACCCGGGGACCATGGGGAGCACGAACTCGCAGAGGAGCGTCCAGTACGGGAGATGCGAGGAAAGGCGTTTGGGGCGCAGACAGGAGTGGGGGACACAGAAGCGGGACTGCAGGGTTAGCCGTAGCTGGAGGGGTTCTTTGCAAGGACCTCATGATCCCCAGTATTGAGCCTGAGCAGGGAAGGTAGACGCACCCACGGGTCACCCCAGAATCCCAGAGTGTGGGTCCCCACACTTCAGCCCCAGACAGGCACAGCAGGGCTTGCAGTGAGCAAGGCCACAAGGACGTGCATCCCATGGGCTCATCCCCCAACCCCACCCACACGGCCTCATCCGGGACCCGTTCTCAGGCCCCCAAGTCACGCGGAGGAGACACGGGGTCCTGTCTAGGCCAGGATCGACACACGGGGAGCCCGTTCCCAGCAAGCCTCAGGCTCCGTCTGCACTGAAGGTCTGCCCGTCCCCACGCGGCCTGGGCCCTCAGCAGGGAGCAGACGGGGCCCAGGGGCCGACCCCTCAGCACACAGTCCCCACGGGCGCTGCAGCGAGACCAGCTTTACTCAGCACAGCCCTGCGCCTGACACCGGCTCGGATGAAGACAACACAGGGCGCCGTTCTGGGAAACCCTTCCGAAATATGCGCAAATGAAAAAGGATTTACACAGCAGATCCTAATTAGTTTCCAAGGAGCCCTGACGGCAAGTGGGTAAATCAAGTGTGGTTTAAGTGTGTTTCCCTTGCTTCAGTGCAGGGGCCGGGCGCGCCAGGAGGACAGGCTGCAGGAAGCGGCGTGTTCCTCCAATAGCAAAAGCACCCAGAGAAAACCCCCTTGGTTCCTGGCTCCGGAGCCCCAACTTCTCACCATGGCCAGGGGGACGATGCCCACATAGGACGTCGGGCTGACGAAGATCTCGGCCACCACCAGCTCGCTCCACGTGTCCTCCGCCGGGTACTCCACCTGCCAGGTGATCTGCTGGGCCCCCGCCAGGCCACTGCTGTTGTCGATCCCGAAGTCCACTTGTAAGAGCTCGTAGAAGGAGCCGTTCGCCCTGGAAGACAAGCACAGGCGCAGTTTAAAACCTGAGGCTCAGGGAGGCAGCGGCGCCCACAGGGGCTGGGAGCCCCGCCCAAGGCAGCTGCCCCGCCCCGGCCGGCCCAGGCACCTCCGGGAGGCCGAGGTTTCCACCCTCGCTGCGTGTCCACAGAGCAGGGTGCAAACCCCGGACCTTAGAATCCGGGCAGAACAGAGCTTCGGGGCATGCGGGGCAGCGTGAGGCTGAGCGGGAAACGGCGTCGTCAGCCACGGGGTTCCCAGCACGCAGCCTGAGGCGGGAGACGAGTCCAGCCAGCCCTGCGGCCACCAGCCTGACACAGAAGACGCAGCGCGAGGCGACCCTCCCCCACCCCACCCCGCCCGCGCGTGGCCCCGACGCTTGGGGCAGGCAGGAGAGGGCGATGAGCGCAAAAGACAAGTGCCAGGTCCTCAGTGTTCTCTAGACACGCCGGCTCGGAACAAGCAGGGTGAGGAGCTGCGCGTGGACGCAGGGCTGGCGGTGGGCACTGCCAGCAGGTCTGGGCCACCCTCATGGGTCGGTGAGGGGCCCTGCCCTGGAAGCTCGTCCCCATCACCCCAACGGCGCTTCCCCCTGTCCCAGGTGACAGCAGAGATAGGCCCACAGCCCCCGGGCCAGAGAAGCTGGCCTGGCCCTCCACCCCTGCCTGACCTACGTGGGCCTGGCGACCTCTGCCCAGCTTTTTGGGTCCAGGCAAAGTCTGCAGACCCCTACTCTGAGCCTGAGGTCATTTTTGAAAAAATTGTCACCTGCTGCTGGGCCAACAGCGACCGGCTACCACAGGCGCTCCCACCGGTGACACCCATTTCCTCACACTGCCGAGGCCCAGGCCACCCTCAGGCACAGCAGTCACACCTGCAGAACTGAGCTGCACCCACCTGCCTGCTGCGGAATTCCACTCGAACCAGAGCCACCAGGCCAGACTCCCCGTGGACCTGGCCCTGCCCCACCCTTTCCCCACTTAGCGGAAGTTTTAAGAAAGGCCCAGTTGCCACGCTGTCCAGACGGAAGCTACGGTGCTCCAGGGCCTGTGTGTAAACGCTGCTCCCCGGGGAGGATGGGGGACGTGTGCCGAGGAGCGCCTGTGGCCTCGAGAGAGGACCCAGAGTGAGCACGTGGGGGCCCTCCCCCGGCATCTTTGGTGAAAAGGCAACAAGAGGGAGATAAAGGGCTGAACCCCAAACTGCTGAAGGGCCCTGGGGACCTTAGGCCGTCAGTTCTCAGCTTCGACCCCCGCTCCCACCCACCACGCTCAGCCCAAGTCTCTCTGGCCAGAGCCTTGCCGCCCCACGGCCGTGTCCCACCGCACGCGACGCCCTGGCCCGGAGGCTCTCGGGCAGCCCGTGCTTGTAGCCAGAGCCCTGGAGCCACGGAGGAAGGTGGGAATCCAGAGACAGGGAAGGGCTTTGTTGTCGGACCCTGTGTCTAGTTCCCAGAACAGAGAGGTGCAGGCTCTGGGCGGGGCGGCCGGCGCTGGCCGTGGGCTCCTCCGCCCTCCGGCGCCCAAGTGCAGGATAAAAGGAACGGCGGTCACTTGGATGCATAAGGTTTCATTTTATTTCATCTCCCTCCCACTAGAAAAAGGGGTTCTTTTACTTTGAGGCAACCAGCCTGCTCGCTAATAAGTCCACCTCTGTGGAAATGTGCACAGCTAGTAACTGGACCTGCTCCTGGTCTACCTCGACGTCTTTCAAATCTGGAAAAGTGCTCATGAGTCTCTCAATTTAATATTTACCAGCTGCCTTTGAGGAGTCAGGGTTGGTATTTCGGCCACGAGAGATCCATTAGACAATGTCCCCTGGGGTGAGGAAGCGTGTATGTGTGTGTGCATGCACGTGTGTGTGTGTGTTGGGTGCACAGTGTGACTTCAGACATGACCTTAGAGTAGGAAGGAAGAGGAGGGTGGGCGGGCAGGGGAGGGCGCCAGGCTGGCAGCCGGTGCCCACATTCCCTCGGCCACGTCCCAGCACAGGGCTTACAGAGACCCGTGACCCCTGAAGCCACAGGACCGCCCTCCCACCCCGAGCCTGCAGCAGCACCAGGGCTTGTTCTTGGTGCCGTGTGTGCACCGCGAGGCGGACAAGGGGGTAATGACGGCCCCATCCTGGAACCAGCCTCACTGCCCTCCAGCCCTCTGTGCGCCACCGGCCCATCCTCCCCTCACTCCTGCCTCCGCTGATCTTTTCATGTCTCCAGTTTTGCCTTTTCTAGGTGTCATGGAGCTGGGATCAGGCAGTATGTAGGTCCTTCCAGGTCGGTTTCCGTCACTTCCTAACAAGCACTGACGGTCCCTCTGCCTCTCATGGCTTGAGAGCTCCTTCCATGTCCCTGCTGGGTCACATTCCACGGTCTGAACGGGCGCACTTTATCCACGCACCTAGGAGGGAGGTCTTGAGTGCTTCTGAGTTTTGGCAACCGGGAATAAAGCTGCCACGAACATCCAGATCAGGTGTCCGCATGATGTGAGTTTTCTCTCTCTGGGGCAGACACCGAGGAGCTGCAGGAACGCACGTTCTCCAAAGGCCGAAACCAATCCCGACCCGGAGTCCCTCGCCCTGGGCAGGTTCGCTTGCTAAGTGACTTCTGCTAAGGATGTCACGTGTCAGGCATGAGAATTCCTCAGCAGACAAACAGACAAGATCCCTGTCTCACGGGTCAGGTTAATAAGTAAAGACATCTTGGCAATGACAGACACTGTCCTCAGACTAAAACAGAAGGACGCGATTTCCTTGTGAACAGCTAAATAATTTTTCAAAATTTTTTTAAGTTAAAAATTAACTAAAACAGCCCCTTTGGATTTTAAAATAGAACATAAATTACCCCCGGACGCAGGAAGCAGGTGCTGAGAGGGCCGTGGGCCTCGGGAGGGGGACGGCAGCTTGCGCTCCTACTTCTGTACTTGCTCTAATCAAGACGTATTTTACTTAACTCTGGGAAGCTTCTGCGCTCAACTCTCCCTGGTCTGGTTTCTTCTCCTTTTGTTTAAATCTCAAGCACATTTTTCTGCTGGAAATACGCCCATCTGACTCAAGCCAGCTCCTAACCAGCCTGCCCGCTTCCCGGGCGCAGGAACACGCAGCTCCATCCTTCTTCGCTTTCCCCTTTTAAATATTTTCAAGCACCTCGCGGGCTGGTCGGGGCGACCCTGCTTCTGCTCACCAACATCCTCCCAGAGGCGGCAACAATGCGTCTTGATAATGAGCAAACCCTGCGGCACCTCGCTCCCCGCCGCCGAGCAGGACTATTTCTCACACCGGCAGCTCACCCTCACTCCCAGCTTATTTGATTTTATCAGCATCACCGTGACAAGCCCAGGGACAGCTGAGACAATCGCCACAATTAATTTTTTCCCACAGCCTCCATCTTTCTGACACCATCCCCAAACACTCCCAGGAAGCCGTGGCCCAGAGCCGCCCCCAGCCTGGCCACACCACCCCGGTCTGCTCTCTGCTTCTTCCAGTGCCGGCCTGGAGGCTCTGGCTGGAGAAACGGCCACACGCCGTGGCCACGTCACCTCCTCACGAGGGGGACAAGCCCGCGCTGATGGAGATTAGAAATGGGGCAGCGGCTGCCATGTACACAGCAGGTGGTCGAGGAGTCTGGTGAACTGTCCCCGGGGTTCACCCGAGCCTGGAGCTGGGAATCTACACTTTGATGTATAATGCAATATCAAGTTTTGAATAAATAATACCTTCCCAGGAGTCACAAAGTACCAGAGAAGGTCAGTCCTTCCAGGTGGCCCCGCAGACACCCCTCGTCTACCTCCGCTGCTCTCGGCCTCATAGATGCCCGGCATGGGCTCCGCTCTGCCTCTAGAACATTCCTCCTCTGCCCCTGGGGAAGGCTGAGCTCTGCTCCTCCTCTTCTGGCTGGCAAGGAAGGACAGAACCGGTCCCAGAGCCCATCTGAACTGGGGGCCTGCAGGGGGGCCTCCTGTGCCCACAGGGGCAGTGAAAGCCTCTGTCGCCCCAAATCACGGGGCCCTGAGCAGGCCCCTCACGCAGCTCTGGCCTCAGGGCCTTTGCACTGGCTCAGGTGAGCTCGCCCCCCCACATCTGCACACACACCCCTTCACACCTGTGTCTTCAAGTGTGCGGAGTCCCCTGGCGACCTCCGGAGGGGCCCCTCTCCCTTCTCCTCCCCACCACCCTCCCTGCAGTTTCTCGGTGGTGCTGACCCCCCCGAACATCTGGGGTCTCTTTTGCCTTTGCTCCGGGCCATTTCTGCCTACTGGGGTGTGAACTCAGCGGGGCAGGGATTTTCATCACGGTCCCTGACATGGCGTCCACTCCGAAGGAACCTGGCCCACAGCGGCGGCTCCACATACACACCAGGGAGTGAATGAGGCCATCGGTCACTCGCTCAACAGGCGACCAGCACCGGGCCTCAGAGCTCACACTTCTCCGCCACCTGCCTCGAGTGCAACGATGGTCCTCGTGTCTGAGGCCACCCCCACAACCCCTGGCTGGGTCATCGTGGTCACCCAACGCTCCCCATCCCAGCCTCTCAGGGAGGGGGTCCTCGTGCCCCGTAGCAGCCGGGTGGAGGGCACAGCACGGGACACCCACGCACAGCGGCGCTGCCCTCGCATCCACCTCCTTGGGCCACCTCTGCCCGGTCTGGGGCTGCTTTTTGTATTTTCTCTGGCTTCAGTGTTGACAATGGTGAGAATATCAGCTTGACAGCAACTCCCCGCCACCGCTGGACTTGGGCCCAGCCACACCCGTGCTTTCTTTTAACTGTGACGAGAACATCTCACAGGTGATCTCAGGACAGCGAGGTCTGCAGCCGGCAGCTCGCCCAGAGGGTAGGGAGCCGACAGGCCCCTCGACCCTGGCCACCACTCCAGCGCTGATGTGTGAGGGCAGCCCTGCTACAGCGGACTCTGGGGCTGCAGGACGGGGGGCCACGTGCCAAGGACTGTCAGCAGCGATAACGATCCCCGGCTTTCCCCGAGCAGGTAGAACATCTACTCA